TGTTACTGTATTCGCATATATGTTTCAAGTTGCTGTTGCCTTTGGTTTAAAGTTCATTAACACCTAAACAACTTGAGCACTTGTAGAGTCCAATCAATTATAGATTATTATGGCGTGCGCGGTTTCTCCAGCACGTTCTCTGTGCGAACCAACAACCCAACCTCCAAGTTTTTACGTTTTACTAGTTACGTTTTATCATCATAGTATTCTGTTGAAGTGCCGACGACTCCAAAAAAACTGTGTCTACGTAGATAGTTGAAGCTTCGAGGGCAATAATCCCTCACATACCAACTGGGATTCGAGACTGAGTTTTTAGAATGAAGCATTGAGTACTAACCACCAACTTGTGCGCAATCATTCTCCGTTTCCCGAGACTCGTCCGTGGCTGCCATGGCACTAACGCTCTTCGAATAAAGATTTGACCGTTAGATTCAAACTTCCGGTAAAACATGTTTTTATCTTCAATACAGTATCGACGATACCAATGTAAGCGCACTAATCAGTCAACCGTACACTAAACCAACGTACACTAGTCAACGTACACACTTGCTGTTGATCATGAGTCGTCAGGCTCTATCATGTTGTACAACGCCGATTCAGCGAGTTGAGAGGTAATGCACTGCCTAACGCTGACGCGAGTCTACGAGTAGTGATCTCTGGCTCTCAAGTTAGTTGGCTCTCCCTTGTTAACAATGCCCAGGGGTTCTCAAACCCCTAATCCCGGAGGCACTCCTGCCTCCGGGTCGTTCACGCCTCTTCGCGACTCGCCGCATCCGACTGATCCCGGCATCAGGGAGGATGGCGTCGGTCGAAAGAAGCGCAAGGAAAAAGCGGACCCGGTGTCAACTCTGCATGAGGAGATGGAAGCGAAGTTGAGGATGGTAGACGTAGAAGCAGATGATGCTTTTGAAGAGGTTATACGGATTTTTACGCTGGGAGTCCAGGAAGGGCGCTACTACAAAACTAGCATCGCCTTTCTGAGGAATGTGGGGTCTTACATGGCCCAGCTCTACGCCTTCAAATGCGACGAGCTGGCGCTGGAGAGGGCGAAGAGAATTGAGCATATGGAGGAATTGGCCAAAATGAATGCGGAGAGGGAGAAAGAAAAAGAGAGCCTGCAGAGGCCATCTTATCCGTAGAGAGACAGGCACAGGTCGTGCAAGCCA